GAGGGTGTGGGGTGGAGGAGGCCTCTGTCATTAGCAAGCTGTTGTTGCTGACTCACAAGGAAAGATATTCTAGACCTTGTCTCACACCACACCACTCCACACACACACACACACACACACACACACACACAGAGTTAAGTATTCTCAGGTAAGGCCAGACTCATCCCTGCTTCATCTGCCCACTGGAAGGTCAGGGGAATCAAGGGTGTGGGGGTTTAACCCTTTAGTGACAGGGTGCTGGAGGGACCAACCCCTCTCCCAGACATAGCAAGTTTCAGGCCAGCCATGCTGCGTAGTGACTCTGTCTTAAACAGAAAGCTGGGTGGCACACACCTTTAACCTCAGCACTCAGCACTTGGGAGGCAGAAACAGGTGGATCTCTGTGAATTCTAGGTCTGCAGAGTGAGTTCCAGGACAGTCAGAATTATACAGAGAAATCCTGTATGTATGTGTGTGTGGGTCCCTGCCATTGACTTGCCCAGCATGCAGGAGGCCCTAGGTTTGATACCCAGGACAGTCAGAATTATACAGAGAAATCCTGTATGTATGTGTGTGGGGGTCCCTGCCATTGACTTGCCCAGCATGCAGGAGACTCTAGGTACTCCTGCCTTTTATGGAGCTTGCCTGGATAAGTGTTGCTGGAGTTTCTTGTCCTGCCAGATCCCACTGTGACTTCAGCCCCAAATAAACACATGGACACTGTATTAGTTTCAAAACTGTTGACCAATGGCTAGGGCTTCTTACTAGCTAGCTCTCTCTTGGTTATTAACCCATAACTACTCATCTGTGTATTTCTACATGGCCTTATCTTACCAGAGAACACCTGGCACATCCTATCTTCCCCGTCTCTACATGGAGTCTCTTTGAGGTACCCCCCCCACACACCTATCTTTCCCAGAGTTCTTCTTGTCCTCCTAGTCCCACCTATCTTCCTGCCTCTATTGGCCAAACTGTTTTATTCATCAACCAATAAGAGAAACATATATACAGAAGGACATCCCCCATCAGGTAAGAGCCAAGATCTCTTAGGTAAAAGACAAGAGGTCAAAAGAGAAGTGTGTGAGGAAGGTGTGCAGGGGGAAAAGGATGGTGTGGTTGGAGGACACCTAACTGAGGTAACACCTGAATAGAATAGTCTGGAGGAATGAAGTCCTAGGAGATCTGGGTAAGGTGAGTGGCAGAAATAGTGTGCAGAGGCCCTGAGTGAGTGTGTGCTCACTGTCAAAGAGTGGAAGGAATGTGGTAGGGAGAGAGAGGAAAGAAAGCGGATAGGACCTGGGGCAGAATGGGCTGTTGTTTTCCCGAGGCAGGTGCTCCTGGGGTGAGAAAGGGCTACATCTTCGAATGGGCCTGCACTGCACCGGGTGGAGGAAAGCACTGAGGATGGAAACGGAGACCAACCAGGCAACGGGACAGGAACATTCCAGATGGGGCTGTGAAAGTGCCCTGGACTAGGGTGCTTACAATGAGAATGGCAGGCCTGGAGAGATGGCTCAGAGGTTAAGAGCACTGATCAAACCCAGCGATCTGTGCAGTCTGCACAGCACTCCACCATCAGAGCTGCATCCCCAGCACACATACGTCTCTTGAGAACCGCATGCCCACATTTTGGTGAGCCATATCATGCACATGAAGGTCACAAGACAACCTTGTTGAGGCAGGGTGCCTCTTTGCTTCCAAACATGCTCCAGACTGGCTGGAGAGCTTACAGGCCATTCTGTCTCCACCTGCCTCCCTCCAGTTAAATACCCTGTGGGAGTGGTCTTGAGCCTCTGGGGGAGGGGTCATCATTTGGTGGGCTTTCTGAGATGCTGCAGGGTTTGGAGAGAGATAGGGGAGGGGACTGAGTGAAACTTCCACCAGAACATTCCAGACTCTTTGGGTGTATGGATGCCAGGGGCTGGGGTGAAGCTTCCACCATTTTCTTCTACTGTGTGAGCTATGACATTAAACTAAAACATTAAACCTAAACAGGCAAATTCAGTCTGATCCAGTATTGTGAGCCCACCTTATCCCACCTTAAAATCCATTCCCCTACATACTCTTTCCTTTGACTATTTGCATTAGCAAGCAATTTGAGTTCTTAGGGAGTGTAGTGCTTCTGTCTTGTAGGGATAGACAGATTTGGGTCTAGTCACAGATCCAGAAGTAACTAAGGGTGGTGAGGACTGGTTCTGTGTCAGCTTTGTCCTGTTTAGCTTGTCCTTTAGTCAAGACAGAACCCCTTCCCCTCAGACAAGGGCGGAGAGGCCAACACTACAGTGGGCAAGCCTGCTGTCCCAGTTCCGTGGAAACCAGTGTCCTCCCACACATCTCCATCCCGTTACAGGACCCCATTCTTGGCCAGTCAGTGAGCTCACTTTATCTGCATTCGCCTTACTTACAAGGTGGCTGACACTTGACCTTGGATTGTAGATCAGCTAATCTCACAATCCTGTGGCTGTAGGAGGGAAGCATCTCTCCCAGGACACACTTAAGAACCTTTAGATCTTTTATGTGCATCCAGGACTAGGAAATTTCATCACTAGGTTGGTCCCTTTCCTTTGTTACTTTATGCAGAGATGCCAGAAGCACCAAATCCCCTAATCTTCCAGAAATGTTCCAAAGTATAGTACACAGAGTCACTAAGTTCCTTACTGCTCAAAAAGCATGAATGGGGGGGGGGGGCAGTGGGTCAGCCACATTTATCTTGTTCAGCAGCTCATGCCATGGGTTATCAGCGTTCTCTGCACTACCAGGAGAGTCACTGGCAACTTCTGGTTTGAAGAGCCAGCTCCAGATATCACCAAGCATACGAAGGAACATCCATCTCTAGAACCCGGCTGCTCAGTCCTACAAGCCTCAGATCCAAACTCTAAGTCGTCTCCAGGGCCTAAAACACGCTAGGGAATTGTTGGTGTGGAGGACACGTTGAAAGGTCAAAGAGGTCAGAGAAGACATCCACACTGGCAAAACAGTTTCTCCCTGTTACTTGACTTTTTGCCTTTGCTACCAGTAGAAAGGTGCCGCCCACATTAAGGGCGGCTCTTCCTCTGATCATTCGCTGTCCCACCTGTCAATCCTCTGTTGACCCACCTCTAACAGTGATGCATTTAGAGTTGACACCAAAGGTAACCTTCAAAATTTTTTCTTCTTTCCTCATACCCAACACAGAATGGGCACTTACAATATCACTAAAATGTGCTTGTTGAAAGGAGACAGTGAGGGCAAATTCCAGGACGCTTATTTCAAGGGTCCTCCGAGACATTTTCCTGGTGCAGGCTGGCCTTCTGACTCTGTGACGGAGAAAGGAAAACAGCTAACAGCCCAGGGCATTAAACACACGCCCTTAAAAACATTAAGGTAACACTTCCATGCACAGAGCTTCGGGTTCAGTCTCCAGCACCACACAAACTGTATGTTGGAATATGCTTGTAATTCTATTATTAGCTGCTGTAGAGGCTGCAGGTTAGAACAGAGTCAATCAAGGTCAACCTCTTGACAGCAAGTTTGAGGCCGGTCTGGGTTACATTAAATTTGGGCTTAAATAGGCTTTCTCTGTATATCCCTGGCTGTCCTGGAATTTACCTTAAACTCACAGAGATCCACCTGCCTCTGCCTCCCAGAGTGCTGGGATCAAAGGTGTGCGCCAACATGCCCGGCTAATTTTGCAGGACCAGACTTTTGGTATCTATGTTGTAATTTTGCCAGTGACTTCTCGCCTTCTGTCCCCACTCTTTTAAATCTTTGTCTTCCAGTATCTCTGGTACAAAGTAGGCACTTCACAAAGACTTGACGTGTTAAAGAGAGCAGGCCTAATAGTGCACGCCTACAAACCCGCTGTCCCCCACTAACCGAGAGCAGCCCGTAGTCTGAAGCAAGCCTAATCTTTTTATATTTCTGATTGTGAGCCTTTAACGGCTGAGCCATCTCTCCAGCCCAAGCCTAATCTTTTTAAGACTTTCTCTTTAAAAATAAAAAAACTTGAAAGATGGACTGCGTTGCCATCGTCGCTTGTCCCGCCCATCACAGCTTCACAATCATCCGGAAATTACGTATAGGCCCACACTGGCCAATCGGAACCTGTAGTTCTGGTCTTTCCACTTAGTAAAATTCGAGTAGGGAGACTTGTCATTATCAGTTAACAAATCAGCAGTGAGGGGACATTAGGCCCACCTCCAAATTGAAACTGCCGCTTCCGGATGCGAATAACGTTTGTCTGGCGTCCTGCTCGCCAATTGGCCAATCAGGACAGCTGGCGGAGGTCCCGCCCCAGTATTACCCAATTAAGACAACCATCGGAGTCCCCGCCCAGAAGAGGCGGGGCTTCGGCGTGCTGGGGACCTGGGCTTCCGGGTGGAAAGCTCTGGAGTCCCTCTATCCGAAGCGGCCACTGATCTTGGGACCAGAGGGATGTGCCTACTCCCGGCTAGAACAGGTAGAGAAGGGACAAGCGCCCAGGCTCGATGTGCACCCTGCCTGGGTGCACGTGAGTAAAAGCTGGGGTCTGCTGCTCTGCTCGCCCTCTGCAGACAGCATGGAGACCCGAGTCCATGGGGGCGTGTCGGGTGGCAGAACTGGGACAGATCAGGGCTTCTGACCCAATCCGGAGTTAAAGTTCTGGTGCTGGTGGAGTAGTCCAGACTTGTGGTTGTAAAAGAAGCAGGAGTCTTAGTCTCTTGGCAGGCAAGCGTTTCCTGTTGTCCATATTCATTCAAAAAGAGCTCTCCACAGCATTCTGAGATGTGGTCCTTGGAGGTAAGAAATAGCACAGTTGGCAGGAAAAGCAGATTGGAATTAAGAATGTTGGAGACTTTCCAGACATCCCGAATGGCTTTGTAGTAATGGGCATTTATTAACTGCCGCCCTAAGGGTTTAACATGCACCGTCCTGTGTTGCCGTACTGGCAGCATGCTAGGGTAAACAGTATGCTGAGGACAAGAGGCACAGAGAGGTTAAGTAACCCTGGTGACTGTATCCAGGCTTTGTCATCGATGCTTTGACTTCAGGTAGACTCTAACCTGAGCTCTTCCTTTGAGCATCCTGCAGCACAAGGCCAGTGACATTGCTTTGAGAAGCTGTGACCCACACCCAAGATGGCAGAGACTGGAGACCCCAGTCAGCTTAGGCTGCTCAGCCTGGAGCTGCTGAAGGAGCTGTGGGCCAGGCACAATGCCATGTGTCGGGCGGTGGCCAGAGCAGCGTCACAGGTGGGTGGCTGCCTTGGTAATGCCCGGGTGTGGAGGAAAAGAGTGCCTACCCCCTGTGACTGTGTCCAGGCTTCCAGGGTCAGCCTTGCACAATGCACCCATTTTCACTGATGCTGCAAGACTGAGGCAGTGGGGGGAAGGGTCTGGGCTGGGACACCCAGAGGCCACAGCAGAATGAAGAGCTGTGTGCTCAGAGCAAGCCAGAGTGGCTAGGCACCGGCCAGGCTACTGCTGGGGTAACACGACCTGTTTCTTTTCAGCCAAACCTAGACTATAGCAGCAGCAGCAGCTTAGAGATGTCACTGTCCCAAGAGAGTTCTTGCACCTCCTCAGTGGCCCCAAGCTCACAGGACAAAAGACGTGTGTGGGAGCCACTGGACAATCATCGAGAGGACACATCGGATATATCTCGGTATGACAAGGACAACTGCACGGTGAACTCTCTTCCACCTGCCACGTGCCAACACCCAGAGCCCCAGGATGGTCTGTGGCCCCCCTCAGTACCCTTGCTAGCCACTGAAGGTCTGAAGGGGCCACCAAAAGGTCTGGGACCTCACAAGACACAAGTCCCAAAGTCCATTCTGTCGCGACCAAGCAAACCATCTAAGGTAACTCGGGAGTGCCTGGGAATCATGGGGACCTTTTTGAGCCTCAGTTGCCCTAACAAATTGTTCTTGGAAAAGCCTCCCTTCTAGAAGCTTCTAGAAGGTCCAATGAGGTTTGTCCAGTTATTGCTCTCAGTTCTTAGCACTTTGGGAAGAAGGAGGCAAACCATATTATAAAACCATATTTTACAGGTGGAAGGGCTGAGGCTTGGAGCCCAGGCTTGTTCAAAGCCACACCCAAAGTGGGGCCAGACTCACCTTCCCTTTTCCGAGTTTCCCAGCTGAGGTTAGCACCAACCTAGAGTCTAAGTCAAAACACAGTGCGTTGTTTCCCCTGAAATGGGGAATCAGCCCTGCTGATCTGGCCCGTGCCCTCCTTTTCTACTTCCTCAGCCCAAAGTGACCTTCTCTCAAGAGTCTGCAATGCCTGAGAGCAGCTGGCGCTTCCAGCCATACCTGGGCTATGATTGGATTGCAGGTGAGGGGTGGGGCTGGATTAATCTTAGCCTGGAAGGACACACATGAAGCTGAATGAGTGAGTGAATCAGGGCTGCTCCATATTTCAGCGTTTATAGAGGCCAGGCCCCTGCCCAGCACTAGTGGCAATATCTCCCCTCTGCCGCTCTTCTCCCGGCACCTCAGGGCTCCTGTCCCCCCTCTGGCCTCTCTGCCTCATTCCTGTCAACTGAGTGTTAAAATGCATAGCAGCAGAAATTTTGTCATTTTAGATTTTTGTTTTCAATTTTAAGTATTGTGGTGTGTGTGTGTGTGTGTGTGCTTACCTGTATGTATGTCTGCTGTGTATCATGTGCATGCCTGATAACCTGTGGAGGCCAGAAGTGAGCATCAGAGCCTGGTATTGGCATTACAGATGTTGTGAGCCACCCCGTGGGAGGTGGGAACTGAATGTCTGCAAGAGCAGCCAGTGCTCTTTTGTGTGTTTGTTTTCTGTGACAGGATTCCTCTGTGTAGCCCTGGCTGTCCTGGAACTCACTCTGTAGACCGAGTTGTGCTGGAACTCTGAGACCCGCCTGCCTCTGCCTCCCGAGTGCTGGGATTAAAGGTGTGCCCCAACACCCAGCTTGGTATCCTTTTGATTTGTCATGTGACTTCCTTGATCTCTACTCTGGTCACCTTCTCAGACCTCCTTTGGAACCTCTGCCCTGTGGCACTAAGCCACCCAGCTCAGGTCTCCAGCTTTCTGGCAAGTGTCACCATTCAGGATCGAATCAGAGACCTTGGTGACTAATCAGTCTTTTGCCTCTTTAGAATATAGCTCCCTCAGAGTGGGAGCCTTGTCTAGTTTCCTGCTCTTCTCTAGCTAGTAAGAATGTAAGCCAGGGGCTGGAGAGGTGGCTCAGAGGTTAAGAGTACTGGCTGCTTTTCCAGGGGTCCTGAGTTCAATTCCCAGCAGCCACATGGTGGTGGCTCACAACCATCTGTAATGAGATCTGGTGCCCTCTTCTGTTGTGCAGACAGGCATACATGCAGGCAGAACACTGTATACATAATAAATGAATAAATCTTTAAAAAAAAGAAGATTGTGAGCCAGGTACATGCTTACAGTGTTGAGTTGGAAGCCAGCCTAGGCTACTTGAGACATTATCTCAAAAAAGAAAGAAAAAAGAAAAAAAAAAGTAAGCAGGTCATGGAGACACATATGCCTCTAATCCCAGCACTCAAGAGGCAGAGGCAGTCTAGTCTCTGAGATCAAGGCCAGCCTGGTCTGTATATGGAGTTCCAGGCTAGCCAGGGATACATAGTTACTGTAAGGGCTCTGGGAGAGAGTTGTCTGTGGATGGCTGGCTAGGTCAGGGCAAGCCTGTGCTCAAACAGAGCTGGCATTCTCAGTGGGGGAAGAGTCCTAGGGGTGAGGTGGGGCCCCACGCCATCCAGCCTTAACTCACCCACCGATGCTTTCCCCGCCCCAGGGTCCCTGGACAGTGACTCTCCAGTCACCAGTCAATCCGATACCTTCTTCTCTGTGCTGCAGAGGTTTCGAGAAACCAACAAAGAGGATTGCATTTGCAACTCCCCTGAGTAAGCAGGGTGCATGAGGAGCGTGGAGGGTGGTTAGGGGACTCTGTCACTCATCCTGCTCATCTTCTGTCCGCCCCCCTCCCCCTCTGCCAGAGCTGTGTTCCCAGGCCTGCAAGAGAGCTGTGGTGTGGAAGAGGACCATGAGTGTGAGTTCACACTTCCACAGGCCACTCTGAGCTGGCGCCTCAGGGAGGGCAGCCTGGTGTCTGCAGTGTGGGGTCCACTCTGGCCTGGGGCTCTGGCTGGCTTAGGTCCTGCCCTTTGTAACCACCTCTCTGTAGCAGCTTTCAGAGACGGTGGGGTGTAGCTCTCAGTGCCGCTGAGAGGACATTTCTGCCTGAACTTTAGGTGTGAACCCAAGACTTTGGGAGGAGAGAGCCTAGGGGAAAAAGTAGCACAGAGTGACTCCTCAGTGGATGGTATTGCTTGTGTGACTAGGGACAGCCAGAGGCCCTGGCAACAAATGCCCTGGCTTAGGGGAAACTGTGGTATCATGGGCCTCACAGGTGTGTACTGTTACCGTGTCAACCGGCGCTTGTTTCCTGTGCCAGTGGACCCGGGTACCCCTTGCCGCCTGTGTGGGATACCCCGAGACCAACAGGGTCCTGAGACTCTGGCAGAGCCTGCACAAGTCAGGTGAGTGCATTGGAATTCCTGGGAGGTCCCAGTGGACAGTTGCAACTAGGGTAAGGTGCAGAACGTGGCCCCTGCTAATTTTGATGCTGTGCCCCTTGCACAGGGTGAGCATCCCACTATCCATCCTGGACCCCCCACACCGGTATCGGATTCATAGACGGAAAAGCTTTGATGCATCTGACACTCTGGCTCTGCCCCGGGTAAGCCGCCTGCCTGGAGAGGCTAGAGGAAGGCATGTGTGGGCAAGATCCCGAGCTAGCCTCGAGGAGAGGTTGCCCCAAGGCTCTTGAATGCTAGCAGGCCTCTGGCTTCACCTGGTCTGGGGTGGCGCCCGTCCCCGCATGTTATCTAGGATAGGTGTCTATATGGGCCCTATTCACTGAGCTCTTGGGTGCCACAAGCATGGCTCTTAGGGCTGTTTCCCAGAGCCACAGCAGCCACTGTCTTACCCCACCGCCACACAGGCTACAGAGGCAGAGTGGAGCTGGTAGGAGAGATGAATTTGAACCCAGACCTTGATGTTTCTGTTGTGCGTCCCATCTCCTAGTCAGGATGGGAGTCAAAGGGCGTCCTACTCACACTGGGTGAAGGACAAAGTAGCTGCAGTTGGGACAAGAGGAGAAGGAAAAGGGAAAAGACCCTCTGGCGCCCCTATGAAGTGGGTAGAGAGGGGACTTCTCCACACTGGGGTCTGAAGACAGAGTTCCTGCCCTACCGAGGCCCATAGCCATTTGGTCCCAAATAAGCACACAGAGGCTTACATTGATTATAAACTGTTCAGCCAATGGCTAAGGCTTCTTATTGGCTAGCTCTCTCTTAATTATTAACCCATTTCTGTTAATGTACGTATCTTCACATGGTCCTGGTTTACTGGAGAATATCCTGGCATCCTATCTCCCTGTCAACTATTTCTCTACCTTTCCCCTTTCAAGAATTCTCCTAGTCTGGTAGCCCTGCCTTCCTGGCTAATGGCCAATCAGCATTTATTCACCAGCCAATAAGAGAAACATATTCACAGCACACAGAAGGACATCCCCCATCAGGGTCTCAAGGATGGTTTAGCAAAATCATGCAGCGTAGGTGCTCAGGGCCAAGTTCAGCATGGAAAGGACTCCATTAATATCCACATCCTCTCATCTACCTTGGGGAGCGGTTGAGATGGCCAGGTCAATAGGGACGGAGATTGGGGTGACCTAGGATAACTAATGGGTAGATGTACCTGCTGCCCCAGGGAAGGGGTCATGGCTGCTCAGGGGTGTTTTCCATAGTTGGGATGACTGATGCCTTTAACCTTTGCTCTCTACAGCACTGTCTCCTAGGCTGGGACATCCTTCCTCCAAAGTCTGAGAAAAGCTCTGTCCCCAAGAATCTTGACCTCTGGTCCTCTGTCTCCTGTGGAGCCCAGCGCCGACATCTGTCAGCCACTAGCCCGTCCTGCCTGGTAGGGTCCCCAACCTGGGGTGGGGGTGTCTGGGCGGGAGCTCAGGCCCCGACAAGGTTTCCCTCCAACTTTGGCACTTCTTGCCTCCTGCCCCAGGAAGGTGGGCATCGATGCAAGGTGCAGGAGGAATTGAGGCTAGTACTGGGTCCCACCTGTCCCCGAGTGACCCCCCCCACACACACACACCAACGTTTTCCCATTCATCTGTCCTCTAGTAACTCCCCAACCCCTCCCTCCACATTCACCTTCCAGGCCTTGCCGATCTGGTCAGAGCCTCAGGTTCCTCAGCACCGGCCCTCCCACTAGAAGCCCTGCAGACTGACCACTCAGAAGGGAACAACGTTCTACCAGTGCCATCAGCCTCCCCTGAGGAGGCAGCACCTGAGAGATGGCAGCCCTCACAATGAGGCTGAACCCTAACAAGATGGAAGTATCTGTGCTGTCTCCTGGGTTGGGCAGCTGGGAGGGTCTAGGCCTGGCTCCGGCCTGTTTGCCTCCTGGGGGTGGAACTCCGGAGTGGAGGGGGAAGAGGTTCTGTGAGGACTATGTAAATAAAACTCAGGGCCCTGTACTTCCAGTCCTCACATAAGCTTGTCTTTCCTGCTGGTCCCCTTGATGTCCAGGTGTCCTGGCCTCCGCTGGCTTCACTTTGCCTACGGGAGACACTGGCTGCCTGGAGGTGAACACCCAGTGAGCACTGAGCACTTAGAGCGAGGCTTCTGTTCTGTGTATTTTTTTGTGGTAGGGTCTCACATGGCCCAGGCTGGTCGGGAGCTCACAACGTATCCAAGGATGACCTTGAACTACTCTGATCCTCCTGCCTCCACCTGAGTATGGGGTTACAGTCATGCCCCACTGGGCCCTGCTTGGGCTTCAAGCTTTTACTGTAGCTCTCAGATCTAGATAGGTGGCTGTCCCCCCAGCCAAAGGCAGGCTAAAACCAAGGCCAGTGTTACAGTATCTCAGGCCTGGGGAGATGGCTCAATGGATAAGAATTCTTGCTATGTAAGCATGAGGACCTAAGTTCAAATCCCCAGGACCCATATAAAAGCCAGATACGTACTGAATGTCTGTAATTCTATGGAGAAATGAGAGGTCCTGAGATGAGAGAGACAGAGGAATCCCTAAGGCTCCTGGGCCAGTTAGCCTATCATACACATTGGAAGAACAATAAAGAAAACTCCTACCTCACGGTGGAAGACCACCCAAAATGGTCTTCTGATTTTTTTTTTTTACGCACACCATGCCATGTGTACACCGGAATAATACACACACACACACACACACACACACACACACACACACACACACACACACACGCACGCATATGCACACACAGCCTCACTGAAAGCTGTATCTCATATTGAGTGAGTGAGCTCTGTCCTTGAGCTCAGTAGAAGGGCTCTCTTGAGGTCCCTGGCATCTACATGCCCATTTCTGGGCCCAGTTCTAGAAACTGGGTGACCTACAGCCCTAGGAAGGATAAATTGGGAGACTGACAGTCGCGCAGCTGATCAGAAACAGATTTGGGAGGTGTTAGGGATCCGAATCCTGATTCTCTCATCCCTTGTATGCTTTAGGTTGCATGATATTACATTTCAGCTTTGTGGGCTGGAGAGGTGGCTCAGAGGTTAAGAGTATTGGCTGCTCTTCCAGAGGACCTGGGTTCATTTCCAGGCAGCCACATGGTGGCTCATAACCTTCTAATAATGAGATTTGGTGCCCTCTTCTGGTGTACAGGTGTACATGCAGGCAGAACACTGTATACATAATAAATCTTTAAAAAAATATTTTTCAGCTGGGACAGATAGCTCCCAGTTAGGAGTTTGAGTGAGAATATTCTCTGGCATGAATGTTCGATCTCTAGATCTCTAGTGGTGGTGGGGTTTGGATAGGCTTAGGAGGTGTGACCTTGTTGGAGGAAGTATACCACTGGAGGTGGGCTTTGGGATTTAAAGACTCACAGTTTTGGGTGCCTTCTCTCTGTGTCCTGTTTGTGGTTCTAGATATGAATCTTGGGCTCTCAGCTTCTAGCCCCAACTGCCATGCTGCCATAGTGTCCCCATCATTATGGACTCCAACCTTCTGGAACCATAATCCCCAAATAAACCCTTCCTCTACGAGTTGCCTTGGTCAGTGGAACAGTAACTAAGACGCTGCTCCAACAGAGGGCTGGCACTGTACCCCTCGTGGGTGGCACGCCGATGCCTGTGACCCTAGCTGCAGGGGATCTAGCACCCTCTGGAGCCTCTATAGACACTTTTGCATATGTGAGCACACACACAAATATATTTTATTTAAAGTTCTAGTTTCAGCCTGGGGAAATGACTCAGCAGTTGGCATAGGCTGTTCTTCCAGAAGTTCAGGGTTCAATTCCCAGCACCCACTTTCTGTGACTGCAATTCTAGGAAATCTGATGGCCTCTTCTAGCCTTCACAGGCACCAGGCATGCACGTGGTACACAGACGTGCATGCAGGCCAAGCACCCTTACATACAAAACACCAGAGTCATAGAACAAGACAGAGCAAATGGTAGCTCTAACCAGAGGCACTGTGTGTGTGTGTGTGCATGCATGTGTGTGTGTGTGTGTGTGTGTGTGTGTGTGTGTGTGTGTGTTGAGTTCAAGATGGCCTGGTTGGCTTCAAAGTCATGACAATCCTCAAGCCTTAGCCTCTGACACTAAGTATGCTCCATTTTTGCCTTTTGTTGTTTTGTTTTGTTTTTTGAGACAGGGTTTCTCGTAGCTTTGGATCCTGTCCCGGAACTCACTCTGTAGACCTGTCTGGCCTCAAGTGCTGAGATTAAAGGTGTGCACCACCACCACCAGGCCCACTTTGCCCTTGTTAGTTAGCATGTGTGTGTGTGTGTTTGGCATGTTTGTTTTGTTTTTATTTAAGCTTTCTCAGCTTAGAGGATTGTATTGTCCTATGAAGCAGTGAAAATGCTTTTCCTGTTTTCATCCCCCATGTGTTAGTCAGGGTGAGTGAAGTCATGCTGCAGTAACAAGGCCCCAAATCTCTGACTTAGTGTAAAGGTTTATTTCTTTTGTTTTTTAATTTTCTGTTTTTCTGTATACAATGTCAGACCTTTTACTTAAGTCATTTTTCCCTTGCTTGGGGCTGGAGAGATGGCTGAGTGGTGAAGAGTGCTTGCTGCTCTTACAGGGGACCAGAGTTCAGTCTTAGCATGCGTGTGTGACTTAAAACCACTTCTAATTCTGGTTCTGGGGACTCCAGCGCCCTCTTCTGGCCAACTCACCCAGTGAGCATACATACATACGTGGAGGCAAAACACTTGAACACATGAAATAAAAATAAACCAATGTTAAAATGGCTTTTTCACATAGTATGTCTTCTCATTATTAATTTCCATAGTGGGAAAATAAATGATGACTTACATTTGTGGACAGATTATTTAGGACAGGTAAAACATTGGGGAACAGTCGGTCTGTTTAGAATCTGACAGGACAAGTTGTCACTTACGGGGTCTGTTATTGTGAGGGGGGGGACACGCATGCTACAGTGTATGAGTGGAGGTCAGGAGGCAACCCGGAGAGTTGGTTCTCTCTGTTCTTGACCTCAGTCCTGGGATCGAGCTCAGGTTACCAGGTTTGCTCAAGCCATCTTGTCCGCACAGGAATTCTTGCTCAACTTCCCTCACTTCCTCTGGGGAAACTGTCCCCATCAAGTTGGGCCTTCTGACATCCATCTCCCCTTGCTGCTGGCAGCCACCATTCTCTCTGTTTGTCTTTGTCTTTTTTTTTTTTTTTTTTGAGACAGGGTTTCTCTCTGTGTCTTTGAACTTGACTAGTCTAGGAACTTCATGTAACTGGAAAGAACCAACAGCGAGCCTTTGTTGACTGGGCTATTTCCCTGCATGTAACGTAAGCTTCATCCATGTTGTGATGTGTCAAGATTTCCTTAGTAATTTTATTTTTTGCAAGAAAGTAAGTTTATAAAGGATATTGCCAGGGGTGGTTGGCTGGGTAATAGTAAGACTACAGCATGCTTTTCTTTTTTCCTTTAGAATTGCTTTCATTTTTGAACGTTGATTAATATTCCATTATATGGCCATTCCACATTTTTTAACCATTCATTCATTCATTTATATTTGGTTTTTCAAGACTGGGTTTCTCTGTGTAACAGCCCTGTGTGTCCTGAAACTCTCCGTATAAACCGGGCTGGCCTCGAACTTACAGAGATTCACCTGCCTCTGCCTCTCAAGTGCTGGACTTAAAGACATGCGCTTCATTGAGGAGGGGATGGACCCAGCACTGGCCTTGATCCCTCTTTATTTTTTATGTGCATTGGTGTTTTCCCTGCACTATGTCTGTGTGAGGATGTTGGGTCCCTTGGAACTGGAGTTACAGACAATTGTGAGCCGCCATGTGTGTGCTGGGAATTGAACCAGGGTCCTCTGAAAGAGCACCCACTGCTCTTAACCTCTAAGCCATCTCTCCAGCCACCAGCACTGGCCTTGAATGCTTCCTTCCTCTCCCTCTCCCAAGCTAGGAGTACAGGTGTGTGCCCCTTTGCCAGATTTCTTCAGTTTTGACATCCCTTCTGAGTGTGTATGTAGTGTGAAATACAAGATTTTTACTTCTAAGGCAAGAATTTTATGATGCTCTGAAGTTCTAGGAATTCACGTTTCGGTTCAACCCAAGTTCTTCCTGGGCCTTGTTCTGAGCATTTCAGCAGAGTATGGCTTCGGAAACACAGCCTCCCAATATTGTGACCCTGGGAATATCGTGTCGCCTCCTGAGCTGGCTTTTATTACCTATTAAGGTGTGGCAATGCCAATGGAGTTGAAGGAGACAACACAGCCACCCAGAGTGCTCTACGTAATGTCTAAATGGTTTACCTCCATGGCCTCTTGGCTGGGCTCTAAGCTGGGGTCTACCTCCAGCACCAGTCCATAGAAGAGTCACGACACCATCAAGGTGTAGATAGCTTCTACAGGGTTCCCGAGAAAACACCGTAGTCACATGGGGTACATCGGACCATGGTAAGTAGGGGATGTTTGCACCCAGGGAGACATTAAGCCTCTCCTCAGTTCTCTCCTGGTCTCTGCTCTAGCCTGTCCTAACATCGAGATCATCCCCAAAAGGATGAGGTGCTGAATTTGCTCTCATTCAGCCTTCCCCAGGCTTTTTGCCCTTGCCTGTCTGGGAACACATAGGGTGTGCATCCTCCTCCTCCTACTTTGGCAGGGTTTCTCTGTGCAGCTTTGGAGGCTGTCCTGGATCTCACTCTGCAGACCAACCCGGCCTCAAATTCACAGAGATCCACCTGCCTCTGCCTCCTGCGTGCTGGGATTGAAGGTGTGCAACATCGCCACCTATCGATATTTCTTGTTTTCATTCATTATCATTTTTGGACTCAGCGCTCTGTCCATAGAGAGGAAGAAGGGCTGTGGGTGACCAGGGCTTTCCCTGTGACTAGCACATGAAGGCTGAGGGTAGCGGTCTAGGGCGGCCAAAATGCACAGGAGACTGAAAGGGAAAATCCAGACTGATGTGACCAGTGAGAACAGCCTGAGGTTGGGTCCATAGCAATAGGTTTATGTGGTGG